GCGACGAGACGAGGTCAAAAAACGGCATCATCGTTCCCTCTCCACCTTTAAGTGGAGACCATCGACCTTTAAGTCCCTAATAAAAAAGGTCTTCTGGGAAAGCTCCAAGTTGAATCTGCCGATTCCGCTGTGGACCGGAACGCTTCAAAAAATTTACTTCTTTTCGGTCTTTGAGGAGCCCATAGCCCGCCATGTCGGAGGCAGGATATCAGCTAAACGAGGCAAAACGACACGATTCTTCGCCAATCAATCGATCAAAGCAACCTATTTGCCTTGATTCGGTGCCTCTTCTTGAAAGAGGAGAGTGAGCGAAGGGAAAAAGCGAACATGAATACAAAAATTAATTTAGTTTATGAGGGGAGCGTTCAAAGCGAACAATGAACCCCCGTTCTGAATTTCCGCTCGAATTTTCGACAGCACGGTCACCTCAGTATGTGGTCCATATTTTCGAGAAAGTGATTCCATCAAGTTGCTGAGTGGGCGGTCTCAGACGAGGCTGAGAAGAGGGAACATTTTTTGCCGAGTTCTGAAAGCAATTTTTTTTTTAAGCTCCCATTTCTCCCGGAAATGGGCCCGTCTCTTCCGAGAAGCCTTTCAAGCCTTTCAGCGACTCTCACGTCGCTCTCCATCAGGAAGTCGACCGGAAAAGCAAGTGAGGGGAAATGAGGCAATAAAGCAGCCTTCTAAGACATCGACCGGCACTTTGGCGATGCGATTGCATCTCAAAAGATTCGCTGGAAATAAGGAGCGACCATGACATCTGTCGTGGAAGTGAAGCCATAATAACGCCATAATAATGCCATTTCATCATGTAATGATAGTGCCAATAAAATTGACATCCTCGGCCAAACCTTGGTCAAAGGGTGCTTTCTAGTGCCAAGATCCAAAAGACCTTATGGACATATCTGGGTTCAGGCCGAGTTCATTCTCGCCACATTGAGAGGCGATCGATCAACGAAATCACAGCCTCTACAAGCACGAGACATCCGCATGCAGCATGAAGCAACAGGCCAGCAGAACCAGAGGAAGACTGCACGCAAGTGAGCCGCCCTCCACCGCTTTTATACCCTGAGAGCCCCCCCCGGCCCTTCACTGCAGGCGCGTCTGCTCTGAACCACTTCCACTCACGCCTCCATTTGCTCCACACGATCTAAGAAATTCCATTCGGTACGACTTCATCAGTCTGCATTTTCAAGCGAAATTCGCGCGCCTTCGGGCTTAGAGGACGTCTATAATTTCATTGCATAATTTCCCGAATTCCAAATATATTTTCAAAGCATCGAACCATAACAAATGAATTCACGAATAGTTGTGGCTTAGATTATGAAACCGCGAAATGTTAATTTAAATCAATCGATGAAAAAAAAAATCGCTCCAGCTCATCTGGAGTATCAGACCCTCTAAACAAATCAGTCGGTAGCGCGATCCACTCGCTCGGCTGACGCTGTCGCCTCGGTCGCTACTCGTGTCAATGTTCGTGTTTGTCGGTGGCTTCTTTGATTGATGGAAGAACGGATGCGCGATGCACGCTTGACTGATGGCTGGGGGAGTATGTGCTCCTCGTTTTCTTCGCGGGTTCCAACAGAAAGACACTGTTGGGGATCTATTGGCGATTTTTGGGGGCCTATTGGCGATTCTTGGGGGCCTATTGGCGATTCTTGGGGACCAATTGGCGACTGTTGCCGACTTAAAGAGGAATTCGAGGTTTTCCGGGGTTATTGGGTACGATCGGACGTCTCGGGATCACCAGAGCCCGCGACGAGGTCCGAAGGCCGAGGCCGAAAGGGCAAATGCCCGGGAAAGCTCCGATTGAAGGAACAGAAACTTGAGAACCGGAAGATTTCGTCGACGCGGCGAAAAAACGAGCATGGGATCCCAGCATGATCCTTGCAAATCCGTCAGCATCCCATGCTAAAGATAATCGCGGCGATTAAAATGGCAACCAGAGAAATAACCGACCCACCCATTGCTTCAAGCTAATATATAATAATTCATAATTCATATAAGTAAAGGTTGTTTCGATCTCGCACGAAATTTGAAAAGGAAAACGAGCCTCTCACGATTCGCTCGCTAATTCGAAAAATTCATCTTCGTCCGATGAGGTCCAATAATAACAGGCGGAGAGGTCCATCTTGGTGTACTTGCTTGGACTCGTTTTCCAGACCCTCCGAAACGCCATTTTTAGATTTAAATCTTAAAAAATTGGTAGAAAAAGTACATCAAAATTGCCAAAAAATTGCGAGAAAAAGTAAATCAAAATTGTAAATAAAAAAAATTGGCAGAGGGACCGTGAAACCGTGACGTTTTGGCTTGCAAAAGGCGTCGAGAAATGCAGATAATTTTCCTCGTTTCGTTTTTTTTGGAAGACAGACGAGATCCTGTCGAGGACCGCACGGTACTTCTTCGGAACTCCTGCGGTACTTTTGCAGTACTCTGCGGAGAGCCCGAGGTCAGGATCCGTTTTGAAGCCGTCTGGACGCCAAAAAAAAAATTAAACAAAACCACGAAATAACACGCGAATTCGCTGACGCGACAGAAGAGGACAAACAGGGAGGAAAAAAAGGGTCCATGTAACACAAGCAATGCCACAACAGCGACTTGTTATGAGAGAAGAGCGGGAATGGCCTGCGTCGTGTCATCCTCCCTCCTCCCCGAGACTTTCAGTAGAGGTCGGATCGGGTAAACTTCTGGGGAGTAATATTTATGTATATTTTTTTCCTTTGTAAACTCTTGAATTGGAATTTAAGACGATTGGATGCAGAGAAGCAGTATAAGCTGAAGCGAACGGGGAGTATGGGTGTTGGGCATAAAAAAAATCCCGGACTCATTATATATGTAAAATCCTTTTTAGGTGTTTGGGGGAAAGGAGGCTCCACTTTTCGCCTTTTTTTCGATTCTTCTTGGATTTCAACGGGGGAAAGCCACGTCGAACGAGTTCTACGTTGCATAGGTAGTGAAAAATATATTTTATTTATTTTTTCTTCGAGCTTTTAACCCGCTCGCCCTCAGCCTCCCGTGGACCCAACAGACGTCGGAGACTCGCCTGCCCGAGAAGGCCTCTAAGAAAGGCCAGTATAAAAGCGGGCGGGAGGTCGTTGCGTGCTAGGTGTTCTCTCGAGTGTCGTTTCGTCGTGGCGTGAGTTTCGTACTTCGCGCTGCCGTTGTAAGTGTGGAGATCCCCGGTAAGTGTGGAGCTTTTCAGTTCCGCGAATTTCTTGGTTTTCCGTCTCCAATTTTCAGTCCGGTTTCAAGCGTTTCGGTGGGGATTGTGGCGCGAATGGGAAACGGAGTAGGCCTATACGTTAAAACTGCAAACAATGCAAAAAAAAAAAATCGATAAAGACCAAATTTTGTCGATTCGGAAAGACTGTCAGAGGCGATTCCAAACCCCTCAGGCCATCTCCATTTTTTTTCCTCATGCCATTCGAACACGAACGGGAAGGCGAAAGCGAAATCCAGCCAGTGCGAAATTCGTCTCGAGCCACTTTCAGGTCGAACATCAGACGGCATTTTGGAACACTCGTCATTTTTCAGAGGTCGAGAGGGTCGTCGGTGAAGTTTTTCACGTTTCGCTCTAGTCTGCGCCAAAATCAGTTTTGCAGTTCGAGTCAACTGCGGCAGATCGCAGTCGAAATAATTGCCTCGCGATGAGGAAAGCGCCCGTCCGACGGGAAGCGGGAGACCCCGAAGCCGCCATTTAAAGGATGCGGAGAGTCATGTGCTGAGAGTCGCGTGCTGAGAGTCTTTGGCGTCTCCTTGGGCGATGGGAGAAGAGGAACTGAATTACAAAGGAGCTTTCAGACAACGGAAGTTGTCAGCAGGAGCGATTGGGGCCGCGGGAGCGGTTGGCGGGTTGATGGACCCCGATTCTCTCTTCTCATTTGCACGATGCAAGTTGTTAATTAATTAATTGATTTTTTTTTAAAGGTGTTTTCCAGCCATTCGACAAAATTTCGGGCGACAGCCGCTACCTTTCAGGAGTCTTGCGGCGATGCTCCTCAAAAGATGCTTTGCAAAAATAATAAAATTAAGTTTATGGAGTGATGGGGGGGTTTGGACAGGTCTGTTCTCTTCCTTTCGAAGAATCATCAGCGTCGAACAATCATCAGAAATAGCCTAACGCACAAACAATAGGAGCGCGCTGCCTACTTCCACTGCGCGACGCTTCAATTGTTACCCGGCGAAACCGTAATCCCTAACAACTTCCAGTTTCATTTCTCTCCGCGCTGTCAAACGAATGTCGAGATACCGTCAGGCGAAAATAAATTTCTCCAGATTTCAAGGTTTTTTATTTTTTCATTTTCAATTTTATTTATCTTATTTATTTTCTTTTATTTATCCTGTTTATTTTCCTTTATTTATTATTATTTTTATTATTATAGCAGAGTCACATTTAATGCCATTTCCATATCACCGTATTTTTTTTTTACGATGAACGAGGTTGACGCATTTAGAAGCATCATTTTCGAACGAGGAACGACACAGTTCTCACCTGGCGGCACCCACCAAGGCGTCGGAGCCAACGAGGGCCCGCCGTGAGCAGACGACGCCCGCCCCCGGGCCAATGGGAGCAGGGCCTCGCGCCGGCGAGTCGTCTGCTCGCGGTGGAGTCCGCGTGGACCTGGATTCATCGATTTCAAGGAGTTCCGATGGCTTCGAGCCGGCAGGATATTGGACGAAAATGAGTTACCTCGCGTGCGACATGTTATTGGACTAAGTGGACGTCTTGGGACGACGCCCTTCGTGATACGAATGTTTTCTCTGTAATAATGAGGAGCCATGCCGTTAAAAATTGAGAGGAATCGCATTACGCACCGATTAATGGCGTCATTACGAATTTGTCCGTATTGTCCTTGGATGAGGTGTTCGAGGCTCGTCGGTGTTGTTAAGGTGACCGTGAGGGGGGAAAGCCGGCGAAAATGGGATATTGATGAGGAACGGCATCGCATTGATTGAATCGTGTCTTCCGTCGGATCTCTATGCCAACCGCTCAACTTTTCATGTCGGGGGTCGTTGGTGACGTCAGCGAGAAGAGAGTGCTCGATGAGCTGCGTCCCCATTCCCCTCGGTGCATCACGGTTCTTATTATCGTAACCAGAGCCCGTGGGCGATCTCGTTGCGTTCGCTAGAGCGATCTGCCTCGATGAAGTTGGTGTAAACAACCGGGCTGGTAACTGGGCCTCGATGACCGGAGAGTCGAAAGTGAAAGCCGACACCCGGATGAACAGGCTTCTGCTCGGGAATCCCACGTCCAGGCATCAATCGATGCCCCATTTCTTTCCTCGGCTCCGTGCCAGTGGTCACACTTGTTTACGCCTCGCGGTTCTCCTTCCCGTATCCCCGGAAATCTTCTCTTCTCCCTCCCGGTTTAGGTAAAGCGAAGCATGACGATCCCAGATTCGAGCAAGGTCGAAGACGGGGGCGAGGCCGCGCCGAAGACGAAATCGGGAGAGCTGCTGCCGCTGGACCTCCACCTGCGGGACCACCGCCGCTTCACGGTGACCGCGGTGGAGCGCGAGGGGGACGGGCTCCTCCCCTCCCGCCGTCCCTTCGCCCTCCCGGCCGACCCCACCCTGCATCCCTTCGCTCGCCCGTACAGCAACAGTATCACCCTGGGCTCTGCGGATGGCCGTCGCATCGACATCAGACGCATCCTCACCTGCCCGTCGGAGCTCAATCAGCTGACTCCTCGAGGATCGATCACCGGACGGACGTAAGCGGCTCCGCCACTCAATTCCAGGGAATTCTTTCAAGTTTAGGAACTTTCATATCTTTTGAAATGGAAAATTCATTTTTTTTTCTGTGGAAAATTTCAACTGTGATTTTCCCATTTATTTACAGGGTGTCCCAGAAACCCCGCCCCAAGTTTTTTTTTACATCATTGTCTTTTTTTCTGATGGAAATGAGTTTTGTATCATTCGAAAGCCTAGACCTTTCTTAACCCTTTCATTGCTGAGTTTTTATTTATTTAAAAAATTTATAAAGCCTTTAATATTAAGAGCAATTATTTAAATTCATTTTTCTTGCCTTTAGATTTGGTCTTTAGTCCCATTACATGTCCTCAACAGCAATGAGGATGTGGTCAAAATTTTCTCACTGCCTTGTATCAATATTTTCCATTATTTTTATGTCCGGAAACCAAAAGTTTCAAAACGGGTATACCCGGGCGTAGCAGTGAAAGGGTTAACAACTACTGCTAAACGTGACGGTTTGTGGTTTCTGGTTGTGGGGATTTTTGAATAAGGAGTATGCTACGAAACCCCTAACATCCCTGACCTCATCAGCGCATTTCCACCAAACTGAATGCCATTAGCTTGGACATGCGCCAGAAAGCAGTGAATTACTTTCCCCAGTGATGCCGTATGTGTCATGATCAGAATGGGAACCAATTTCAAAGGCAAAAAGATTGAATCCCTGTTTTTAATCCCTGGGTCCCAGAAACCTCGCCCCCAGTTAGGACGGAGACTAAGACTAAGTGAATGGCACTGATGAGGTCAAGGATGTTATGGTTTTTGTAGCATACACCTCTTTAAATAAATAAAAAACCACAACCATTAATCACAAACCATCAGGTTTAGCAGCAATCGTCAAGAAATCTTTAGGCTTTCGAATGATGCAAAATTCTTTTCCATCAGAAAAAAATACATAATGATGTTCAAAACTTGGGGCGGGGTTTCTGGGACACCCTGTAGTTCTCTAGTTGTTTTCAGTCGTCCGATATTTTCGCATTTCCACTTCTCGCAGCAGCTTCAAGCTGGGTGAAGAACTCGAAGAGGAGACCGACGATGAGGAGGGCGGGGACGAGGAGCCCGGCTCGCACGACGCGGGACTCCCCAAGCGCCCGGGACTCCCCAAGCGCCAGCAGTGGAGCAACAACCGGGAATTCGTCCTCGCCTGCATCGGATCCGCCGTCGGCCTCGGCAACGTCTGGCGGTTCCCCTATCTCTGCTACAAGAGCGGTGGAGGTGAGTGGGGATTCCCCAGTTGGCTTCAGCGAACTCGAACTGGCTAAATTTTCGTTCAGGGTGAAGGCAGTGCTCATGAATGCTCGCATGCTGTGACTAGTCTTACGGTTTGTTTCATGGGAAAATCACTCGGTTCCTTCGATGCTTGTAAGGGGAGAGGGCGGGCATTTGGGAAGATTCGAGAAGTACCTTTTCGAAATTACAAACTGACCTGTTTGACGAGTTCACGTTCTTATTAAATGGAAATAGTTCGCGTTTAAATAACTTTGATGGTAAACGAAGCCAAGTTGTAAAGCTTCTTGTTAAAATATACGATATACAAATGCACGACCTCGGCGTCGGCCCGATCGCTCCCGAGAGAACAGAAGGGCATCAGCAGCCACCAGAACGATTTCCACGCTCTGGTTATGGTGACGGTAAACTGGTTTCAGCTGAATTTGTCTGTTGGTGTCCGTAAGAAACAATGGGGATGGAACGAACGGAATTAATAGCTTTTTACTTTTGGAGTAAACAATATTCCAATACATATTTCGCATTTGAATATGTATTTTTTGTTCCATTTTATATTCGTATTCTATACTTTTTTTTTAGCTCGTCCGACACGCAATTTACTTTATCAGAAACAGAGAATATTTTACCTCTTTTCAGGCGCTTAAGATAAATCAACAAGCTGGAAATAATTCTTTTTTTTTGGAGAGATCGTTTCATCATTTCTTCCACGCAGGCGCGTTTCTGATCCCGTACTTTCTCATGCTGATCGTGTGCGGGATCCCCCTGATGCTCATGGAATTGGCCGTCGGGCAGTACACGAGGCGAGGACCCATTCAAGGCCTCGCGCGCATCTGCCCCATCTTCAAAGGTGGGTGGGATGGGTTTGGGGTTGCGGCAACACTGTCTGAGGTGGGTTTCGCTCTAGGGGTTGGGTTCGGGACGGTGGTGATGTCTTTCTTGCTGTCGACTTACTACAACGTCATCATCGCCTGGGCGTTGTATTTCATGTTCAACTCCTTCCGGAGCGAGCTGCCCTGGTCTGACTGCTCCAACCTGTGGAATTCCCGTTTGTGTTCCCTCAATGGGACGCTCAACGTCTCCAACTCCGTGGAACGCACACCCACCGAAGACTTTTACTAGTACGTGGGGGGTTTCAATATTGGCTGTGAGAATCGTTTTCGTCGGTGAGAATGATAGCATGGGGTTCGGAAACAGCGAGCGGATGCTGCAGATCTCGACCGGGATCGAAGAACCAGGGACGCTGAGGTGGGAGCTGGTGCTGTCGCTCTTCGTCGCTTGGGTCCTGGTCTACTTCTCGCTGTGGAAGAGCGTGCGGTCGTCGGGGAAGGTGGTCTACTTCACGGCTCTCTTTCCCTATGTCCTCCTTTTCGCGTTCCTCGCGCGGGCTCTCACGCTGGAAGGGGCGGCGGATGGCGTTCGGTTCTTCTTGCAACCCAAGTGGGAGCTGCTGCTGGAAGCGAAGGTGAGACGTTGGTATCGATTGGGAGGGGAAGCATTTGCGAAGCAGGGGAGCTTTCACGTAGTTAATTTGCCACTCTAGCTTTCTATTCTTTCCACTGTGATGTATTTCATCAAGCAATTATTTACAGTTACTAAGCATTTTTTGATCATCCATCCATGATCCAGGGAGGGGGGGAATGCATACTTCGCATTGGTGAAGCTCAGGAAGAGTTCCTCTTGATTATTACCTGCGATGAAATCATGCTTACTTACTTTTGCCTCGTAGGTTTGGGTACATGCAGCTGCCCAGAACTTCAATTCCATCGGAATCGCCTTTGGGAGCCTGATCGCATTCGCCAGTTACAGTCGCAAGGACAATAACATCGTCAAGGACACTCTCGTCGTGACGTTGGTCAATTCCTGCACCAGCTTGATTGCTGGATTCATCGTGTTTGCTACGTTGGGAAATCTTTCTCATCAATTCAATGAACCCATCGATGCCATCGTGGCAGATGGTTCGTTCTTACTTCCGCATCAGGCACTTTCGAGATTAATTCGGGGTCGTATAATATTGTGAAGCTGTTCCATAGGGCCGGAGTTGGTTTTCATCGTCTACCCGCAAGCCCTTTTGAAAATGCCCTTCCACTCGGTCTGGGCTGTTTGTTTCTTCTTCATGCTTCTCTGCCTTGGTCTCGATTCGCAGGTGGAAATCAATGTCTCATATTTTGCGTCCATTTTTCAACGTCACGCGGTAATAGATCCGTTCGCTATGGCGAGTTCGAGTAGGCAAAAAAAGGCGGCTCTTCGTTTCAGTTCGCATCCGTGGAAGTTGTGGTGACGAGCATCACAGACGCCTACGGGTCGCTGGTGAGACGATACATCAAGAAGCACGAGCTCCTCGTCCTGCTCATCTGCATCCTTTCGTTCCTCTGCGGGCTTCCCAACGTCACTCAGGTTCGTCTCTCGCGGGTTGAAGGCCATCCAGAAGCGCCAGTGACTTTCACTTCGTCTCGGTCCGCAGGGAGGAATCTACTACTTCCAGCTCATCGACTACTTCGCTGCGAACATCTCTGTCGTGTACCTGGTGTTTTTTGAGGCCGTGGCGGTGACTTGGTTTTACGGGGCCGGGCGGCTCGCCCGGAACATCCAGGAAATGACGGGAAGTCTCCCTTCGTTGTATTTCCGGTTCTGCTGGACGATTGCCGCTCCTGTGTTCATCTTTGTGAGTTCCTCGTTATAAACTTCTCCGAGTATACAGAATACGGCACTATGAATCGATGACTTGTGACCTGTATGTCGTCACTTCCACTGGAGCGAATTTCACGGAAATGCACTTTGGATTAATATTTTCGACAGATCTTCGAAGTTCTTTCCGTATTTGTTGTGCCGAGGCAAGGCCATGAGCAATTCTCAAGTGTCAAGTGGAGGAACTCCTTTACGCTGTGGTTGCTCATTTTTCAGGCCTCATTAAACTCAACTGAAAAATACTCATTGGGCTGGCCTTTCTTTGAAGATGATATTACCTTCTTTCCCAAAAATATTTACAGATGAATAAAAAATTATCGATTGAGAATTTACTCAATGCTTATTTAGATATTCCTTTTTTTTTTCAAAGAGGCAGAGGCTACTCATTCTGAATAGACTCGTTTTATGTCCATGTTCAATTCCACATATATTTTGAAAGATTGCTCATAACCTCGTTCATTTGGCAAAACTAATTTATTGACATTTTGGGATCATGTATAGGCATTATGCAAGTTACGTGGAAATCGCTAAAGGTCGAGCCACAATATATACATTAACAGTGCCATTCTCCTCCTTTATACATTTGCATAAGTCAAAAGATAACCTCACACAAGTGCATCTTCCACCTAGGCTGTTTGGGTCTTCAGCATCTTCAACTACGAACGTTTGACATGGAATCATGGCCATTATAAGTACCCACAGTGGGCAGAGGCGGTGGGGTGGTTCATCGCAAGCCTCTCCCTACTTCCGATCCCCATATGTGGCTACAGTGCTTACAGGAAGGCCAGTGGTGAAACAGTGTGGATGGTACGTCTGTCTTCCATGCCTTTCTTGAAACTGATTATCACTGATAATTGCCGTGTAAATCACTAATTTTCTTTACAGAAACTGTGCAATGCCTGTCGATCAAAACTTCCAGACACAACTCCTGGATCTCATTTTGGACTGAGCCCTGTGTTCACCCATCACAAGGCCGGTCGACTCCTGAAGCAGAAGGTTCTCCTGAACGATGTGGAGAACAATCTCAGCCCTTGCTAACTGTGGCAGATCTCAGCTGTCCTTAAGGATGCAAGTGTGAGGTGATGGTACAACCTCCATTCCTTGCCTGAGTGCTGAACCAATCTGGACTGTCAGCGTCTCAGACAGCCCAAGCTCATCTATTGCCATGGTCTGTGGCATTTTAACACTAATGACCAAACTTTCTGTCATTTACACTTTTGTATAGTAGACTGGAAGGGAAGAGAAGCACAACAGAATCTCTCCCTCTGCACAGGGACTCTCCATAACTACTATTACTTGTGATATGTATTTTTTATTTTACCAATAATTTTTTTAATTGGACTGAATTCAGCTTTGTGCTGAGAGCATTATTCCTTTGTCCATTGTTAGTAGCTGATTTCTGTCACACTCAGGTAGATGTGGTGTTATTTCTTTTGTGAATAGTACTATGTATAGTGGTTGGTTTGGCCAAAAAAATAAAACCAGATTCACCTGATCTCATGTTTATTAACTCCTCGATTTATCAACAATCAAACTTGGTATGAATAAAGCTCTGCACCCAAAACATTTTAAATAGAAGGCCCACAAGCATTTATTGTTTCCTTTTGGTGCATATAATGGCATCCTAATGTCGACAACTTCAGTTTCCCAAACCCAAACGCCCTCTAAATGTCTCCTGCTGCTAGGCGGTAATGCATAAGGTTGAATAAAAGGACCGACCTAGACTCCCTAGCTCCTACAAGGCCGACCAGTGTTATGCTGGGGGAACATCCCCCATGACTCGAAAAGTGGATCAACATCAGTGGATATCACAGCAACTGGGAAAAAAGAGACATGAACTGCATGGCAGTTCCCTCCCAAGGGAGAATGTGAAAAGGGAACTCTCCGAGAAGATAGCCACGGATAAAATAAGGGGAAGAGGAACGAGGGAAAAAAATCGCAGTAACAAGAGGCAATGGACGTTAAACTTCAATATTGTCAGTAAATATTGGGACATCGGGACCAGTCCTGCTTCTCCTTGCATTCCCAGTATTGGCCCAGATACTTGTGAATAGAAGAATTCAATAACACATCAAATTCCTTCTTGAACCACATTGGTGCATAGGGAGGATATTCTTGACCTGAAAAAGGCAAGCACACAAAGTTAATATCAAAATGACAACTTCCTTCATTCAATGAATCTTAGAAACATCAGTCATGTTAGATTCACCTTCGGCTTGAGCACGTTCCAATTCCAATTCTCGTTTCTTCCGAACCATCCTCTGCTTCTCTTCCAGCCTCATCTTTTCCTAAAGATTGAATGAGTGAATGTAGGAGAGAGCAGTGATATGGATAGCTGGAGCAATTGAGAGGGAAGATTGCATTACTGTGTTTGCTTCATCCCACTGGCCCATCTCCATGTAGCGCTGATCTGGCCTCAGACGTGAATCTGTTGGAGCCACACCTTCCTCAAGTTCATTCAGCTGTACGGCCAGAAGACTAAAGTGGTACATTTGCTCCGAGCCATCCCTGTGGGAAGCAAAAAAAGGCATGATTATAGATTTACAGTCTGAAGAGATTTGTAGGACCCAGAAAAAGGGGACTCACAAGCCAGGATTTGCTTTCCAGACAATTCTGGGGGGTGCAGTCTCCAGGATGGGTTTGGTGTGCTCGGTGGATCGGGACGTGTTTATCACACGGGATGCCTCCATCTTGGAATCCCAGGTCCCAGAAAGAACCCAGTACACACGCTCCTCACGATCCATCACATATCCACTCACCTGAAGATGAAAAAGTGAATTTAAAAATTCATGAGCATTTGTGAATTGATGCTAGATCCTGTGTGGAAATTGGCTCACTTTTCTTGGGATGTCACGAGAAAAGTAGGAATAGGGACTGAACTTGATGTGGCAGCGATCACCAGTGGTGTGGTTGGTGATGGTCATCTCTCCATGATTGTCCACCCACAGCTTTCCGACAATGATGTTGTGAACTGTTGTTGTTACCTTTCTCCATGTATATCTATTTCCTGTAATAAGTAGTGATTCCTGCAGGGTAAATACAATCCTGGAAAACACATGCAAAACACTGAAATGGGACTCACCACTCTTGCCAATTGTGAGCTCAGTTGATCCAAGGGGGATGATCTGAAGATATTTCCCTCGAAATTTTGAGCTCATGCTAAATTCCTGGCTTACATGCCAGCCTCGGCCTTCACAGTACTGTGATGCCACAGGTGGATGGTGTGACACCTATGCATGAAAAGGAAAAATAAATGGCTTGAAATAAAAACCAACATTCCCATAATCATAGATAGGTGCTCTTTTTGGCCAAGACATACCTGCTCATTGACGGCTCTCCATCCGAGGTCATCACGTCGATCACATTCATAGGTCTCACCAAGAAGAGGATTGAATGGTTTTCCAGTTCGCAAGGAGGTGCTAGCATAGGATGAAACAGTGAATGCTGCTACATAAACCATCTGTTCATGTGGATCTGAACAGAGAGCTGCACGATCCAGAAGGTCTGCATATTCATACTCTTCTGTCAATCGCTGAAGCATAGATAGTGGCTCATTGAAGTTCACCTGCAGCATGGAAGCACATATTGTATCAGAAAACGTAGCACTACTCAAAAGATTGATGGGGATAGAATCAAGTGATAAGTAAAAACATACAGGCATTGGTATTTTGGTGAGATCCTTCCCAATACTACTCTTCATGATGCTCCATAAATTGATGGAGTAATTGGGCTTAGGTGGGATGCGGTTTCGCCTAGGTCGTGCCTGGGTTGGCGGGAATCTCAGTGGCTGCTTACTCATTACATCACCATCCCCTCCAATGGAGCTCAGGTGAGTCTCAGAGGAGCTCAACCTCCTTGTTGGACTTGAAGAGGGCGATGAAAGATCCTCCACTCTCTTGTGGTGACGAGTACGATTCTCTCGATTCCCCTCTTCCATCTCATAAGAACTTGAGTTTCCTTCTCCAGCCTGTGAAACTGGCTCCTAAAAGTTTTCATGAAACTTTAAACAATATTGTAACGTTTCAAGAAACATTCATATGGCAATACCAGCCTCATGAAAAGAAGAAACATGACATGGAATGACATATCAGTGTCTTACCCCAGAGGAAGATGAGGAAACAGTAGCTGGGAGACTTTGACCAGAATATGACCGTTTGTGACATTGATGAACAATGAAATCAAGATCAGCACTCTTTGGTTCATGACCCTCCTCAAGAGCATCAAAAAACTCTCCTTCATCGGATTCGGACTCTGTGAGGATGATGCTGTTGGTTTTGGCCATCCCAGTCACAGGAGGAGCTTGAAATGGGGAACCGGGGTTCATTGCATGGACCTTTACACTCTCTTCCAGGTGAGAGTGCTGCTTGGCCAGAGCCATCACCATCTCTTCAAACTGATTTCGCTGATCCCTTTCATGCTGTAGAAGGCGCTGCCACTTGCGACCTTGATTGGTTGCCAAGTCAACATAATCTGAACAGGCCTGGTGAAAACACATATTCTGTTCTCTCAAGAACATCTGATGAAAGAATCACTGCAAATTACAGATGATGTGGAAAGAGACTGACCTTGATCATGGCATTACAAGTGATACGAAAGAGAGTGGCTCTCTCACTGACAGTCTTCAAATGACTGGGAACCTTAGCAGCAACTGTCATGGCATCGTTTCCCTCGGCACTAGCTTGAGCATGCAAGGACTCCAGTTCTCCCAGAGCACGCTGGAGACTCGTTCCATGCTTCCGAATCAACTCTTCGCATGTTGTCATATCTTCTAGCTTTCCACCAAGGGTGCGAATGACAAAGTCTATGTCTTCTGCCAGCTGAGGATCTCCTTCCATCTTCTCCAGTTCCTCATCTTCATCTTCATCTTTGTGAATATAGGACAGGGAATAATATTTTCACTGTAAAGCAACATGGACTCCTTACAAAACCCCATATAATTTCTTACCTAAATCCAACATTTTGATAGCTTTGGCTTTGGCCAATTCTAATGCAGTGACCCAGCGCTGTCGATCCACCTCCGTACTTGCTCGCAAATGCCAAGTCTGAGTAGCCCCATTTGACACCACAAAATTACACGAATCTTCAGTGATGATTGTCACTCCGTGCATAGTCATAGTCCCCCGGCATGTATGGGACATTTCTGCCTGGGTCCTGCCAACATGTTTTCAAGCCATTTGATGAACAATGACAAGTCTGCCATCTTCATCTCTCAATATGATGAAAACAGTCCTCTATCTCTCAGAATGGGAACTTTGAGTGAAAAATTATCAACACTTGTTTTTTTCCTCTCTTGATTCTAGAGCTCATCAACTTGTCTTTCTCTCACTTGATTCTAGGACTCATCAGCTGGTAGTACTCCTAACTCGAAGCACAATCCAATGGTGAATTATTTTAACCATTAACCATTGTTAGTCTTCCTTCCCAATGATTTTCAAAATGCTTAAATATCTTACTTGGCATTTTTGCAATGAAAATGAACTGTAAAAAAAAGGTTACTCACCTGTAGTAGGAAAGAAGTCCATTATAAAGGACAAACCACCTCTTCTGATACCCTTTGATATAATTGGTCCATTTGTACAGCCATCCCTTTATTTCTGCTTCACCAGGTGGGGTGGCAGTTCCTGTGCTCCCACTGCTTGGTGAGGGAGCTTGCTGGCTTGTGGCTGAGTTTTCAGAAAGGCTTGTCTTGCTTGAACCTGCATTTTTACCTCCGCTTTGTTCCCCCATGGAGCGAGGGGGATTCTTCCGTTTCTGAGGCGTGTTTGGTGTGTCCCAAATCAACCAGACACACTCCTCAGGTTTTTTAGCTTCTAAAAAACCTGCTAAACTGAAATCTCAACCCTAAAATAGAGAATACTGCACAAGATTAATAAAAATATTCAAAAGCTCCTATGACTTAAATGTAAGGCCCAACTCAAGAATGAGTCATCATTCCATGAAAAGGGAATGCAGGCTGCATAGAAGCTTCCCTTGACCTATAACTGACGTAAGCCTAGATAAGCCGATGCAGTGTCTAGCTGGAGGTATCAGAGATATGGAACTTAGCTAAGATAGCCACCAAGAAAAGCCAGGGGAGGTCAGATTGTCCAAAAAATTAATTTTCTGTCAAATGAAGGTGGTGAGGACAACTTTTTCTAGATGCATTCACTGTGAGATTACCCTGAGAGCCAACTATTCCTACATTTGGTTATCCTATCCTTGAGATAACACAGCATGCAAACAAAACAGACATTGTCATGTTTCAGATTTGGGACAACGATGTTTGGCAGATCCTGCTAAAAGCTCACCTAGTGAATCAATGCATCTAACATCATAGAACTTTTGTAGATGCCAGTTCCATTACACAGTGTTCCATTGTAGGACTGCATATATATTAAGAAAACGTACATACATGGGTCATTCCAAAAGTTTCTTTCACTCTCTTGCTGTATTGTTACCTTTTAAATTTTTAGCCTGAAATGTTCAAACTTTAATCTATGACTCATTGTTATAACTTTCAATATTTCAGGTATTTGTCAGCTACCCTAGTGGAGGTTATTGCTGCAGTTGAATCATGTCTACTTTTGATCATTCGTTTTTACAGCAATCATTAAATTCTATATGCTACTGGAAAAATCCATACAATAAAATGAGCACTTTTCAATTACAATAAACAAAGTGGAAGAGGGAGCTTGCTTGGTACAGACACCACAGCTAATATAACAGCCTCTTGATGCCTCAATCCAAGAAACTCTGATCCACTCGGTAAATCTCTCATTTTAAATTGGACATACCTCCTGATGGCAATGAATTCATCAGATTTGTAGTAAAATGAGGATATCCTTATGAAGCATGTATCTTACAGGCCAATCTTTATTATATAACAGAGCCCTGCACAAGCTCATTCACCAGAATCCAATCAGATTGACCCAATTCATGTCCTGGCCTCCACCTGACCCAGAACTGAATGCTAGCAAAACTTCATAGCCTAACTCAACCCAATAAAAGCAACACAAACATTAAAATCAGTCCATAATCTTGATTTCTTTCTGGATGGTGATAAGCATGGAACAACAGCTGGTACTGGCTCTGTTTCCTAAGCAGGTTATTGATGTGGCCACCACTCCTGATTAACAAGAGGTGTTGAGCAAAGAAGGGGCAAAAGAGAGTGCTGAGCAAGGAGAGAACTAAAGAGGAGTGCTCATCAGCAATTTACTGACTGTTCATTACCAAGGGGCAAGTTAAAAAAAAAAAAAAAAATCCCAGTCCAACTTAACTCAACCCAAAGAGGGATTCTAGTTTTGAACCATGAAGGGCTTGGGCTGGGTAAAGTCAATAGTGCTCGTATGCGGGCACTATTGACTTTACCAGCATTGCTTACAGCCTGTGTAGGCTCTAGGCAAGAAAGCTATAAGATTTGTATCCAAGAACTTGACTTATTCTGATCTTACAAGGCACTGCATTGAACACTGTTCAGTGCAGTGATGATACTTGTGTTCCATTCCTGGTAGGGTGAGGGCTAGAAACCTTTATTATTTCTTGTCTATGTGAATGATCTGGGGCAAGTCAAACATGATGGTTTATTGATGTATGTTGGCATCACATTTTACTTGGACTCTTCTTTTCCAGGAAAATATAGCAGTAAGAATAAGATCTCATGTAAAAAGTGGTGCAATGGTTATATCTCAATATAAACGTGTTTTGTCCTCATTCTCATGAAGTCTTTTGCAGGGCATGAGTTCCACTGGATGGCTAAAGAATCATAAATAATGGAATCACTGAAACTTCACAGTACATGATGGAAAATTCATCCTACTCATCATGTCAATAAGCATAAATCCCTTAGGTGCTTCAATTATAGCTATCTTGCCTATACTATATGACTTAATTTTTAAATGCCATGTCTTTGTGCACCAGCCTAAAAAATGAACACCCAAACCACCAAACCAACAACCAAACACCCAACAGACATAATATTATGTAGAAAACAATGATTACAAGGTAGTGTTACAAACTCAACCTTATACTACAAAAAATGAAGTGCAGGAATGAGATTAATAATATCACATCATAAACACTTACAGGCTTGAATACATCTTTTGCAAGTCTAATCTACAATCATAAGGCTTTGAAAAATGTGCCCAACAGCAGTGGGGCATGTGCTGTACAATGCTGCAATGTATGCACATTTGAACAAATGGATACTAGTCAGAAGATTGAGGTAACTGACACACAAAATCAAATTCATTTTTCATTGCTGGTCAATAACTTCAATAGGGGCCTAGGGCAGACTTCCCTCTGACTCTGGGCATCACCACAGACCTATATATATATATATATTCATGAAAGTAAATCTTGAAGGAATGTGTTGACACCACTATCGAAAAGGAATTTGTCTTGTGCTTGTTCCATTTCTCAGGACAATTTTTAAATTGCTAATGAATTCACTGATGCATGGCTTCGCATTTTTGCCGTTTTGCTCCTTTCTTCTCCTCGAGGCTGGCCCAAATAAAGTATGAAGCTTTTCTATACGACACCACACCAGATCGAGTAACGTCAAACCCGGGTCTCATAGGACCTTCGAGGCGCACTTGGTCACTGAAAATTATTCTCTAGTCTCGCTTTATGTGAACAATCGTATAAAACATTTCTTTCTCATCCTACAATTCACAAGGTTCTTAAGGAAAATAAGCGTAACTATCCAACTTAGGCCTTGATCCCTCAGATCGGAACTGAGGCTGGGTCCCACAGCCACGATAGCTTCGGCATTTCAAGTACGCAGAACTTCATGTCACAGGAAACACAGCACAGGCCGAGAGTGTCCAACGTGGAGAGACAGGAGAAATCTCGAGAGCCCAGGACCGTCACGGGCTTGACGTGGATTATCAGAAAAAATGAGTGCCGTGGTGGTGGGTAAGTGGCGGGCACGTTCGATGGCACGCTTCAAGGTGGTGCATTTTGATCCCGATCCAAGCTCCGGAAATTATAACTGGGAGAGGCGTTAAATACGGGAAGTGAACATAAAATATTTTGGCGGGGCAATGGATCGTTAATCTGTTTAACGCGAGCTTTCTTTCATTTCGAAAATATTGTTGTGATCTATGTGTACGGAAGTGAGAAGAGAGGATCGAAGATCCCGACCGGACTGCGCGATTCTCTTTTTTCGTATGCAGATACACATCGTGCTGGATGGTCAATGCGGTTTGCATGTTGCAACACGTATGGCGCTGATGCGTAGGTCTGTCATGTGCGTGGAACTGTTACGGTGGATTCGGATTGACTTCTGCTCAATTTTCGTCAGATTTGGTACATTTTGTGCTGATAGAATGGGTTTGACTAAAGTAAGGACGAAGAGCCGCTATAGATTAGTAAGGGGTTGAGAGAGACTTCACAAAGATGTAGCGTGGCAGGATGGGGGCGGGGTCTGTTGATAAGGTGAAACATACCCATTGCTTTAATGCCTCAGCCTCAGTCTGAGAGTCATGGCTGTGGAAGAGCCTCCAGGCATATGACTATTATGCATATACACTGGATTGGAAGTTTTACTGTACAAGTAGATTTGCTTGAGCCAAATACATTTTCAGTTGGCTCGGACATCCATGCTATGAGGCACTCCCCATGTGCGGGTGCCATAGTCAAGTGAGTTATGTCTGATTCAAGTAGAAAAATTCAGCTTACATGGTGGTGTATGCCTATTCAGTTGCAAGCATTGGTTAAGTGCATACCTCTTGGGGAAATTGCACTTCCGCAGTCTCCAATATATATAGATGAATTCATCTAGAAACATGCCAGATCCATTGGGATTCCTTTTATATATTATAAACACCATAACTGGCCTGGCCCTTAGAACTTAGGCCTTACTTTAGTGAAACACAATATCCCTAGGTATGCACTTACCATACTTACCCAGTGGCCTGCTGAGCATCAGTGTCTTATTCATATTTATTAACATCTAAACTAAGTTCCAGTAATAATTCTAAGCAACATTGTGTGCTTTGTGGATATATGCCCTTAATGCCTTGTAAACACTGTGGTCACATGACAGACTTTCAGAGATAGCATATGACAACACTGGGTTGTAGGTGAGAATTTTTGCCAGCTTCATTTCAGACAGCTTTTCAATGCTTTGGACCACTCAGGCATTGCTTCTTCAGCTACTCACTATCATTCAAATACCCAGAGAATTATTTGGGTAGTGGGATTCACCTCCTTCACAGGCTTTAAGCATCAATATGCAAAGAAGTAATTGCCCAATTTAATTGCATGGAAAATTGCTTACAATTTCAACACGATTGGGAATTTGGCTTTGACTATAATGGTTTATTCCTTGACTCTAATCCCTGATTGCATTAGAGTGAAAGTTGCAGTCTCTTCCTTCCAGATGTCAGGTGCAGAACAGGGTGAATTAGAAGGGACCATATGTCACCTACCAAGTCCGCATTCTGGCATAATATCATTCCAGCTGAGAGGAGAATCATGCCAGGCCTGTTTCTTTATACAAGACCTTTTTGTTGATGGACAGAGAGCTGTGGGAAAGGTGACGGAATATTTGAGTATCAAGCAAAAAGTGAATTTTGTTGTTGTTCCCAACCCACGACCCAATCCCCTCATCAAGTGGAAGGCCATCCTAGTGTGGGCTGGCAAGAAACCTGCACTTGTATTGGGAAAGGTCGTCCAAGTAGATGAAAGGCATGGGATAATTTCCTTCAGGAGCGAAACTAGAGATGAATCCTGTTTATTTGTTCTTTTGAATCTAACTCTGCATCATGATCGCCCAAGTTCTGATAGAGGTGCTTCCTTAGATCAGGTCATTCAGACAGGACAGAAAGTCATTTGTGTCCCTGAACCGTATCGACTACCTCGTGGATTCCTCAAGGGTCCTTACACTTGCTATTGGAGAGCTGCAAAAGTCTGGAAGGAGGGCTGTCTTCCCAGTGGTCTGAAAGTGAATGGAACATTGGTGACAAGTCTGAATAGTGAGAAGAGCAAAATATCCAAGCAAGATCATTGTGACTGGAAAGTGCTCACAGGTCAGCTTGGAAGAGTTTCGGACTTGTCTGCACGGAAGGCCATCGTTACCTTCAGGTATGAAGATCATATAGCCAAAGCTTTGCTCATCCTCAAGAATTTTGACCCTCCTACTGACAACTTATGTGAGGCCCTTGAAGTGGGAAGCTTTGTCTTAGTTGATGTCGAACCTTATGACAATCCGAATCCACCACCAGGAGTTGATTGGTTTGTGTCGAAGTGTAGGATCGGTTCTGAATCTAGTCAGAGTGATGAAAAGAGCATGATTGCAAGACGAGAATCTAGTGATCGATCAGTGATCAAAGAGCAAATTGGACAAGTTTCTGAAATAAGTGAAAAGAAAGCCATCATCACCTTCAGGTTGGGTGATACTTTTGTGAAAGCTTTCCTAATGCTAGGAAATTTTTACCCTCCAGCTAACAACTTACTTGATGTCCTTACAAAGGGTGGCTTTGTTGGAATTGATGTTGAACCCTACGAAAGTATAAATGCACCAGAGGGAGTGCCTTGGTTTGTACGCAGGTGTTGGACTCGTCTCAGATCTTCAAATATCAATTTAAGAGAATTAGATAGAGACAATAATTCTTTGGATCTGAAGTCAACTGGTGAAGCTGAGAAAGGCTTCCCCAGGGTTCATGTTGGAAATTATGATATGCGCACCAAGGTAAAAAGTATGAATGATATGGAGTCGGACTCTAATGATGAAGTGTCTGACCGAGATCTTGCAGAAGAAATGCTTGATGCTCTTGGACGAATAAAAGATTATATAAATCATCCGGAAAATTTTGCAAAAGCCAAAATTCCCACAATCAAACAAGATGTGGGACCCATTGCAAAGCCTCTGGATCTTGAGTGGGGAAAGGAGAAGCCATATGATCCACTTACTTGGAGTTGCACTATCCAAGATGTTGCCAGGATGCGAATGAATAAGGAAGTCTCCCAGCAAAATGTGAACAAAGCACTTCTATCTGGGAGTCTGTCTGGGCTCTCTCTGCAAACTAAGCCAAGCATGGACATGCAATCTACTGAAGGGGACATCAAGCAGGAGAACCTGGCACTCAAGCGTAACATTGTGCTCTTGCAGAATGCCTTCTCCTCTCTTCTGTCAAAGCAAGCTTTACCCAGTGAACTGATTGAGAAATTGATTCATTTTTGGCTTCCCTACAACCCAGACCTTCACCTTCTCTTCCCGGGGCATGCTCAAGAAGTTAGCACTTCCAGTGAAGTTGGAACATCTGATTCGAACTCATTAAACCTTTCTCTCATTCCTGATTCTCAGGTGAGCTTGCTTTTTAGATGCAGTCTCCATAAAAACTTGGGTTCATGTGCTTATGCAAAGATGAGAAAGTGTCTTCTAGTAGGCAATTTTTGCTTTCTTTTTTTTTTGCAGGCTGCAGTGCGTGAATTTCTTGGCTCTCATGGCTCTTTACCAAAAATACCAGATCTTGGAATTGATAACTTGCCTGGTGAGAAATTCTGTGTTGAGTGGTCCCTTTTCTAGGCATATCCCTACACCTAGTCAAGTGATTGTATCAATTGATGTTCCTCTTTTACAGTCCTAGCTACAGTTTGGAATATCCTCACTGAGTCACAGGCTGTTGCAAAGATAGAAAGTGGAGGCAGCTTCGACTCTTTGGTCCTGGTCAACCGTGACATTAGCTACAAGGATGGGGAATGTCTGTCGAGACGAGACCTGCGACAAGTTCTTTCTGTTGGTATGGGTGCATACAAGGGTTGATCCAAAAGTTTTAGGACATGACTTACCATTTTTTATGGTCTGAGTTCACTTTCAAAGTAGTCCCCTAGGACTCCACACACCTGCCAGCAGTCCTACAGTTTCCGGAAGCACCTCTTAATGAATTGGAAAGGCTAGAAGTGTTCATGCATCACATTTGTTTGGATAGTCTATATGTTTTCAAATCTTTGGCCTTTCAGATACATTTTCAACACTATGGAGCTTGAACACTTGCCTTTGCTTGCCAAATGTGGCTCTGTAATTTTTCCTTTTCCTTTTCCTTAATCTGAAAGGCCAAAGGCTGAAGATTTGAGGACATCCAGACCATCCAAATAAGTGCAACACATGAACTTCTAGCTGTTCCAATAGGGAGCTTTATGGGGTGCTTCCAGAAGCTGCATGACTACTGGCAGAGGTGTGTGGACTCCAAAGAGGACTACTTTGAAAGTTATGCCAGCAAGTAACTTCAAGAACCCAGCTCACAATAATTGTAAGTCATTTCCTAAAATACTTGGATGAAACTTTGTATATGTTCTTGGAATTTTTTCCGGTGCCATTAATATAATGATGGTGATTTTAAGGGATTCCAGCTCTCATCATGCTAACTTGCCTTGTTTCTTTTAATTTTTTAGGCCAGAAGTTGCTGGTGCGTCATGTACCATCCTTTAAAGGTCATGGACAGGCAACACAAGCTACAGTCTTGGGATGAAAGGAAGATTCCGGATGGATTGTTGTTTACATCATCAAATGCGTTCGATGTTTAATTGAAGAGTAGTGGTCGCAATGCAGGTACTGATTGTAAGGGGTGCTTGGAAGGTGGTGCTTTCTAGACCACATGCACCAAAGATAAAATCGTAATAGTCAGTGCCCTGTAAATTATGTATTTGTTTGTGGCTTGATTGGGTTGACTTGGATTTTTTGTTGGGAGATCCTGAAATTGTGCTCAAGAGTAAGCACTGTTGCAAATGTGCAGCACATTTTTATTCTTTCATTTTGCCCATTTCTCAGGATTGTCAGCCAACAACTCCTGAAGACAGAAACTATCACATACCATCTTGCACTTTGAAGTGCTGACAGGTAGATTCACTGGTTCCTGAGAATTTGACAAACTTCCAACTACATCAGAGGTTGCACTCCATGCTAACAAGAATGCTCCATGCTGTTATTGCAGATTTGGAGAATAATGAATGTTAATACTGTAAGTGATAACAGTACAAGTATTAGGATGGAATGATGCATTTGGTTTGGTAACTCTAATGATGCATTCCACAAGGTTGGCCATTATATCCACATTCATGCCATGTGAAATGTTGCCTACAGGTGATACTTTGTAGTCTTGTAAAGTGAAGAAAAAACTCTTCTTTTAAGGAAGGAATTGCATTTGCGTGAAAATCCTGGTTGTACGAATCAGGTATTCTGATGCTTCTGTGATTTGTTTTGCTTGCATATGCATTTAATTCCTGTGTTGTTTGCTGTATGCAAGTGCATTTTAGTACTGTGCTGTTTGCTTTATGCAAAGGCTGCTGAGTACTGTATTGTTCTCTCCGTGCAAATACTTTTCAGTAAAAGTTTGAGCAATTAATTGTGAAGCTAGAAGTTTATCATGTAGTCCCACAGCGTGTTTGGAAACCCATTGGCTCTACTACATGGTTACAAACAAGAATAAGACCAGATTTTGACCAGTGCTTTTTGTTCCATACAGGGTGGCCACAGAGTTATCTTTGTGTAACAATATTGGATGATTGCATTTGAATTGATGTTTGTGGGTGCTAGTAACATGGGTGCATTCACCACCTCATGGTGTTCCAATCTTGTTATTGGTATCAAAAGCATTCTTCCTCATGAGCTTTGCATATGCTCCTGCATTTTTCTGGAAATGTACCCAGGTATCATTTAGAATATTATAAGTTTTGCTGTTTTGGCTGTTCTCATGCACTCATGCCACTGTCAGCAGGCTGTCAGCTTCAGCTGTAAAGGAGCTGATGTTGGTGATCATCAGCTTGGAAATATAAAAGGGAGTGTTGTGCCAACATTATGGGGCTTTGTGGACACCCTGTACCATGGAATTTCATGTGTGTTCTGTTTTTGATGAATTATTGCTTGTGTACTCTGTGTTTTTTAATTTTATTTAGAATAATCACAATGGTAAATTCAATAATTCAGGTATGCTAGATAGTATTACTTCCAGGTTTTGCATTTTTCTCCTTAGTTATAAAACATTTTGGTAAAAAGTTTTCATCATATTTATTGAGTTTCATAAGGTGTCAAATTTTTCCAAATTTGTCTGACCTTGAATGGGATAACATTCAAAGCTAGATAATCTGCCAACTTCATTTTTGATTACTGCAGCTTAATATGGGAAAATGCTTTACATTTGTTGACTTCGTAGTGGTTTTTCATTTCCCTTGTATAATTTCTTGTGGAAATAAATGTCCTGGTGTGCTTCACTTAATCATTATTAGAATTGCTTTATTTATTCAATTTTCCAGTTAGTCTAGGTGGCATGTACAATTTTCACATTGTGAAGTTTGTACATGGAGAAATCTTGGATTCGCTCGACCTGAAATGCGTAAATCCCCAAGATTTATTGTCTGTGGATGCATCACTGGATGCATTGGCAGTGTTTGCCGATTACACACTTGCTCGTTGTGCTGTGTTGAGGTTGGTGCCATCTAACTGGTTGAAGTCTAGGCAAAGTAGAGTTGGACATCATCTCTCCATGTATTTCATCTGTTCCGGATGCAAGTCTTGTTAAAGCTTACACTTCCTACCATTTGTCACCTACTTCAATATACAGACAATTAGGTAATGCTCAGAGCACTAGTGCTGTAATTTGTGCCAGCCGCACTTGTCATTTGTCCAAACATTTGCTGTTTTTATCAAGACAGTCTTACCTTAATAAACTTTTCTCCTATTAGTTGACACCTGCCTTTTGTGAGTACTCAAGGTGTTTCAATCCTCCTGTTGACTTATTCATGGAAAGTCACAAAACATGAAGACATATATTAGATTTGTAGTTTATCAATCCTGCATGTGAGGGACTTACTTTGTTCAGTCTTCTTATCTTAGATATGTTTCTTTCCAGAGGAAGCTGAGAGAATGGGAGATGAAAAACTAACAGAGAAGGAGGGGATCATATCCCACTTCCCAAAACCTTATTCAGGGATAATATCATTTATGATGAAAGACAAACCATGCCAAGCGTGTTTCTTCATTCAGGACCTTTTTATCAATGGTGAGAAGGCAATGGGGAAGGTTACCGATTACCTAGACCTCAAGGACATAGTGAACTTAGTGGTTGTTCCGAACTTGAGAGCCAATACCTTCAACATTAAGTGGAGGGCTGTCTTGGTATGGATGGGTGAGAAGCCCAATCTTCTACGAGGAAGAGTAATTCAAGTGGACGATAAGCATGGCATAATATCTTTTAATGGAGAACATGGAGAGGAATTTTGTCTTTTCTCTCGTGCACACCTTAGCATACTGGATGATGGTCACAGTGGTGATATGTATGAGGCCCTGCCAAATCTTTTTAACATTGGCGAGCAAGTCATATTCGTGCCTGAACCTCATCCTCTTCCACGTGGATTTGCTAAAGGTCCTTTAACTTGCTATTGGAGGGCAGCTAAAGTTTGGAAAGAAGGTTCCCTTCCCAACATGGTCATCCCAGACAGAGCAGTGGCAAGAGAGGGGTCAAAGTATGAGAGAAGTACTATTGCAAGTCAGGATGAAATCCAGGTCGAAGCTGGCATGCTCTATGGATGCCTTGGAAGGGTTTCTTCATTGGATGCAAGGAAAGCCATTGTCACATTCAGGCATGAAGGTCGTCTGGCCAATGCTTACCTCTCGCTGGATAGTTATGATCCTCCAACCAATAACTTGCTCGATGTCCTTGAAGGGGGACGCTTGGTCAAATTTGTTGCTGAACCTATTAATCCAGCCACTGAGGATGGTGCAGGCTTACCAGAAGGAGTAGACTGGTTAATTTTGAGGTGCTGGGACTGTCCGAGGCCAGATGAAGCCAGTGTAAGAGAATTAGATGGGATGCATGGTTCCACAGATGAGTTAACCCATCTTGTTGGAATAAATGGAAGGGTCACAGAAGTGCATCCAAGAAAAGCTGTGATTGCCTTTACACATGGGGGTGATAGTGCCAAGGCTTTCCTAATATTAAGAAATTTTATCCCTTCTGTAAATAGCCTATTTGAGGTCCTAGAGGAGGGAGATCTTGTCAGCATGGACATTGAGCCTTGGGGTGGTTCCCACCCCCCTGTTGGAGTTGACTGGTATGTTCTGAAGTGTTGGATTGGACATACAGAACGACACAAGGTCATCGACCTGGGTGATGGAAGGAGCATGTTCACAGGGAGGCAAGCCTATGGTAGTGAAGTTCTCGAAGCTCTTAATGGAGTGGTCTCGGAATTATCTACAAGGAAGGCCATCATCACCTTTAAGTTGGAAGATGACACAAGGAAAGCTTTCCTTGTACTGGGGAATTTTGAACCTGCAACTAGTAACTTATTCCATGTCCTCAGGGAGGGGGACTCAGTGAGAGTTGATGTGGAACCGTGGGATGGGGCGCATCCCCCCGAAGGAGTAGACTGGTTTGTTGTGAAGTGTTCATTAAGTACCAGTTATAAAAAATTCAGCATGAGAGAGTTAGATCGAAGCAGGAGTTCTGTAGATGAGAAGTTAACTGAAGATGTCAGGAAAGCCATGCTGAAAAATGGTGGGAGAACTAATAACACTCGTACTGAGATAGGAAGTGCCGAAAGCATTCGGCCTGGATCTAAAGTTGATCTAATGGAATCTGATAATGAGAGGTTTAACTCAAACAAGCATGAGCTGATGCCCTCTGACAGTAGAGTGACTTTAAATGCTCACTCTAAGGGAGAGTCAAGTCATGGAGAAGGTAACGTTCTTAGGAATCAGTCACGCTCACTAGACCCCGCAGAAGGGAAACCAAAACCAGAAGGTGCCCCACAAGTGACAAATATAGCTGTGAGGCTATTGACTGATCTGATACAAAAGGGAGAGCAATCCCTATCACTCGCATCCAATGGGAGTATGCCTACTGGTCAAATTATCAGCCAGCTGATTACACTCAAGGCAGATGATAAGAGACTTGGGCTGCTATCTCTGCTCCTATCCCAGCATATTAGGACCAACTCCACAGAAATGGATATCAACCAAGAGCGACTTGTTCTCAAGCATAACATGATTCTCCTTCAGAATGCCTGCATCTTGCTCCTCTCACAGCAACCCCAATCCAGTGACTTGGTGCGGGAACTAATTCAACTGTGGCTCCCATACAACCCGGATCTTCACCTTCTCTACCAGGACAAAGTGGGAGGATGTAATGGAGATCTTGGCTCCACAGGAGCTGGAGCATCTGGTCAGAATACATCTGTGCCTCTGGAATGTGACACACAGGTGAGCATTCTGCATTTGCTTATTTGATATTTTTATGTTTTGGTACCTGTGACCAGGTTGGGTAACTTGCCAAAATTCGAATGCTTGTAGGTTAAGTTGAATACACACCTTAAGATTTAAGTCAACTGAATGAACGTGCATTCAAAATGACAATAAAGTGAATGTGTCTGATTTAATATGCAAGTATTGCAGTTTTCCCTTCATATTGGTGATTTATTTTCAGCTACTCTTGGTATCAAATGGTTGTTAGCACATCAAATTTCTGAAGCTGTTTAGAATGGGCCTACTGTATCTTTTGTTACCATATTTTACTTCAAAGATACTTAGTTTTCTATTGAAGATATTGCTACAACATGATGTTGATGAAGATACTGATCTCTCTTTCATTTCCACCTCGAAAACTACATTGCAGAAAATGCATTATTGCTTAAGAAATCTCTTTTTTTGGATCTCTTTCAAAGGCTTTCTTGTATAGACAGACAATGAGTGCATTCATTATCTGATGAGAATGATGAATCATTGCTTAGATTACGAGTGCTGAAGGTGGATGTTTACTGAGGCACTGTGTGTTGCAAACAGGCTGTACTATGAGCACCTTTGGCTTAGGTGAACAGTTGGTTCAGCTTGACAGGAGTAGAAGGAAGCTTGAGAAAGATGGTGGTTCCCTTTTTAGTTGGGCTTTTCTGCATATTTTATAGGCCTACTTGGGATTGTTATCAAAGGCATGTTTAGGGGAAAATTCAAAATGGTTTGACACCAGGTAATCTCTCAAATCCTAAATCCTTCACATACAAAATGGTTATATTGTCTCTGGTGGCATGTGTAGTGAAACTGAAAAAGTAATAAGTGATTGTTGCCTTCTCTGGTCCTTTTACTGATGAAACTCAAAATCTTCAAGTGAGGATATCCTTCTGATGGCTACAGTATTTTACAATATAGGTGGAAACCCATCTTAAACTTATCACTTTTGAAAAGGGAAACAGAACCCTCCTTGCATTGTGGCTTCTTGTATTGTTAGTATTACTTTGAAGGACTCTATTTGTAAGTTAAAAAATGAATAGTACTTGCACCAGATGATGCCTTCCAATGGAGGGTTATGAATGGAGAGTTAGGTTATTGCTAATGGATGAAATCATAGTTTGAGGCAGACAGGTAGCATCTTGTTGCAACCAGTGTCAAGACTCAATGATCAAGTATCAAGGCTTCATCAGGGGTGTCAGCATCTTTGCCTATAATGACACTTGAAGTCCCATGTCTAAGTGGTCAATATGGGCAATGCTTTTTTAGTTTCAAGGCCTTGAATTAAAAGATCATTAGTATGATAAGAATTTGTGCTGTCTTTGACCTGATTGAGTTATCTTGGCACCAGTGAAAAATTTCATTGGTTTTTATCAGTTATAAGTTTTGCTCTTTTTGAAGAATGGCAGTGATATTAGGAGGATTTATCTGATGTGTGGCTGATGGAGTAGGTTTGATCTCTTCAGGGATTAAATATTCTTGATATATTCAGTATATTAATTTTCATTTGTTTGAGCCTTTTGTGATCTCTCTATCATGCCTCGTTTTGCTATTCTTTTGCTCTTTTTCTGGTATGGGGAAGTGGTTTAACCCTTCAAGCAGTTTTCATGTACTCCATTTGTTCATCACCTAGGAAGTCAGATCAAAACTCAACGCTTGAAGGATTAGGTTTGCAATGTGGAATTGGGTTTTCCTCAGCTGAGTCTTGAGTGAATGAATTTAATAAAACATATCTCATACTGAATGCAGGCTGCTGTCCGTGCGTTCCTTGGTGTTGGTGGTGCTTTGCCGAAAGGGCCAGATCTTGGGACTGACAGTTTGCCTGGTAAGGAATTATTTTTCTTCTCCTCATACTTTTACTTGTAAGTCTGGTCTTCTTTTGTTTTTAGCATAGATTGAGGTGATTGCTTGATGAATATAGTCCCTGAGAGTTTTTAGGCTAAGGATCTTGGATATGTGTATCCATTCTGAATCTGAAATGATTAGGAAGAAGGTGGGAATCAGAAAGGTGGGGGAAGGAAGGTCAAATTTAAAAGAATTACATCTAATTAAAAAATCACCTTTAGCCACTTCCCCATGAACTATACCTACAATGTGACTACTTCAGTCTACTTAGTAAGAAGTCAAGTCCAGTCTCTCCTATGGGGTATTCTGTATTTCTCCACTTAAAAGTGATGATGATGTTCCTTGTCCATCTTCAGTCTTAGCTACAGTTTGGAACATCCTCAGTGAGTCACAGGTGCTTGCGAAGGTCGACATAGGAATCAACTATGGAACTTATGTGGCGGTCGGCCGGGATGTCAGCTTCAAGGAAGGGCAGTGTCTGGTGAAACAGGATCTGCGACAAGTTTTGTCTGTTGGTATGGATGCACTGCATTGCTGATAGATTGAACCAGACTGTCATTGTGTTCCTGGGCTTCATGGGATCCTTTATATTGGTTTTGCAGGTCAGAAGTTGCTGGTCAGGCATAAACCATCTCCAGATGGAGTTGGGCTGGCATGGCATGCTACTGTCTTAGGTTGACCTGGAGGATCATGGGCTCTTCATTATTGCATCCTGCAGTACATATGCTGCTCTGCTAAAGAGGCAATATATTGGAACTTGAGTACCCATTAACAGGGTAGCTAAATAATTGACATGTGGGAAGTTTTTAGGCACTTGCCATCCCATTGTATATATGGTGCTTTATAATGTTCCATGGTATGATTACCAGGAAGGTAATTGCAAGAGTAGTGATGTTGGTTGTTACCCCATTTGTGCATGAGACTATAATTTCCTGGAAATTCAGTTGTGCCCTCCCAATTGATTTATTTCGCAAGGATTGTAGTGTAGCACATTTGCAACCTAGTGGATCATGTAAGCAATGATAAATGTTAGTACGAATTATGGTATGAAAAAATGTTTGCCTTGCTCTCCATAGTAGAGCACAAAAATATGCTTTATTATGTACTGTAAGTTACTGGGAGAGAGCATTTACAATGCATCATGCCCATCAGTCAATGGTAAGGGGTACTTGGAAAGAGTTGTGATTGCCCTTGATAAGAAAGGGTTGAAACTCTGAGTGTTTGCTTAAATGAGAGTAATAGACGAACGGAGAGAGGATGACAACTCCTGCCATCTTTTTCTTTTAATATATTACTCTTTTGAATACATGATGTGCTGTTTCAGTATTCATCTACCTACTGTGCCAGTGTTATGCTATTTTGGCACCCATAAAGGGGTGATGTTAACAATGTGTGTTGATGCTGGGGAGTAGGACTTAACTTGGACTGGGAGTATTTGAAGAAGCAGGATTATAAACAGGATGGTTCTTTTGCCTCAACACCTATATGTTAGTACTCTGATGGACATTTAGAGGAATGGCATATGTCTTTCTTGATCTCAATGATGAATTATAGGACTAATCATGTGCTGCCTGATGATTTAAGGAAGAAGCATTAAGTCTCCAAGCTTGAGTTGGCTGATGTTTTACCAAAACAAATCTGAGTCAGTCACAAGTACAAATTCCTGCAAAATCTGAAATTCATTTGATCTTCCAAGTTAGTGCTCAAGCATGATTTACTTTTCTTTTTCAGGAATGATGTCACAAACCAGATTGATGAATGAAAAGCTTTAGTTATTTTTTGGCATTTTCTCATAATCCTAGAAAGAAGTAAAATCTATATCAAGTTATTTTGACAGATTTTCCAATGTAGGGTGTAATCTCTGCCAGTGACAGCACAAATAAATGTAATTTTGAATTAATGTTATGAATTGAAGGAAGTGGTAATATTGTGGGCTGGATCTCCTCACGTATTTGAGTTCTCAATTTTACTTGGTCTGGAAGGTTGTGATTACTCAATAGAGGCTTCACAGGGCTGAAAAATGAGATGCAGTGTCGCATTTGTTCTTCCAGACCTTGCACATGCACAACAGTCACGTGCGACAGGATGATTCCTCACTATTGATCTCTTTAGTATCGCTAAAAATTATGCCATCCCTCTATACCGTGTATGGAGTATTTGAAAGTTGAGACAATGGGAAGACATCAGCTGACACTTTGTTCTTTAGTGCGCTTGGTTAGATTATGCAGAAAGGTAGATGGTGCTGAGTAACTTGAGTTGATAATTTCGTGTAATGGAGGACATTCATTGTATAACACATGCTCGTTTTTACCCAACTGTACTTTTATATTCATTCCATTTGTCACAAGCAAGTTTTTAATCTGCAATGTATATGATTTATTCTTGTTCATATTGGTGCTGTGTTTAGATGATTCAGCATGAGATATGGTCTTTTAAGTCTTAGTAGATCCATCCCATGTGGTAATGGTACTCCTAGGTACTACAGACATTTTGCTCATGTCATGTTTGTGTGTACTTCAGTTCTATTGATTCTTGCAAATGTGATACACCTGTCTCAAATGAGTGTGATAAATGCATGTTACTACCTTGCACTGGATGGCTTGATAGATTGATGGCATATTTGGTCTCAACAAATAGTTCCTCAAAGTTCTTGACTAAAATTTGTAATGGATTGTTACAGACTACAAATTTTTCAACCTTGACACTTATGTTTTCAGGTCCTTTCTGTCACTTTTGTCTTGAAAGAATAAACTATTCTACTTGGTCCACAGTCCATCTTGCTGAAGGTCTTGTCATAACTGCTGAGAGACATGTTAATCTTGATAGTGGATGCATCATTGAATGCATTGGCAAGTGTTGCCAAGGACACAAATGTTTTGTGCCAAGGCATGGGCTATCTTATGCCATATTTAAAAAAAATAACTTTAGACACAAGGAAAAACTCTGATATGTTGTGTTTCATGACATGATTTCTTTATTCTGTTCTAGATCTTAGGTTTCTTGCAGCATTCTAGTTTTGCCAGGGGTTACCACCTTAAAGACAAGAATGGTGTGAAAAATTAGGCGTGTTCAAGTGTGAACATCCCAAGAGCATCCTTCAGACACTCTTGCTACTCATCTGAAGACACCCTCTTCTTTGCTGCATCTTCATAATGTGAGTCTCTGAGGCTTCTCAAGTGTTCAGATGAGATGGTATTTGATATTGAAATTTGAATTCAAAAAGGTATATGCCAGAGTGACAATTTCTTGTCTCTGCTACTACTGTCAAGTTGTTTTTTCTTAATGCAGAGAGGAGAATGTCAGCTCCAGAGTTAAAGGAGATGGAGGGGATCATCTCCCACATGCCAAGTGCGCATTCAGGAATAATTTCATTCCAATTGAAGAAACAGCCATGTCAAGCCTGCTTCTTCATCCAGGACCTCTATGTCAATGGAGTTAAGGCCTCTGGACCCATAACCAAGCATGTGAAATTGAAAGAAATTGTGAAATTTAATGCTGTGCCTAATATGAAACCCAATAGCTTCAACATCAAATGGAGAGCCAACCTGGTATGGAAGGGTGTGCGACCGACACGGTTGGATGCACCGACGACGCCTGCAGTACGGGGAAAAGTGGTCTCTGTCGATGATAAGGATGGTGTGATTTTGTTTCAGCAGGCAGATAGAGACCAGTATTGCATATTCCAAGCTACTCATTTGATTGTCAATGATCGAAATGTTCCTGAGGGAAAGCCTCTGTCGCAATTTGTTCGAGTGGGGGATCAAGTGAAACTTGAACAGAAACCATTCCCAGGAGGGGTGGCAAAAGGACGGTACGTTTGTAAGTGGTCTGCCATCAAGGTCACAAAGGAAGCTCTCCCACTGGATACATTTGATAGTCCACCATCTGCAGCGAGTGGACTGAGTACATTTGATGATGGTACAGATGACTCTTGGCAGTCAGTGGACTCAAAGATGGGAAAGAAGAAATTGCAAGTAGAGGAGAAAAAGGTAGTGAGGCAGTACCCACAAGAGCTAGTCGAGTCCAACGTCGGTGTCGTTAGGGAATTGAGTGCCAAGAAGGCAGTAATCACTTTTCAATATCGAGGCAACACAGCCAGAGCCCTGTTATTTCAGAAGAATTTTGATCCTCCAACTCATAACTTGATTGATGTTCTGAATCCAAACGATGTGGTCGTTTTTGATGCTCATCTTTATGACCGCCCCGATGGACCGGATCGAGTGGAGTGGTATGTGATGAAGTGCTGGAAGAAACCTGGGTCTAAGTCCTCCAGTCCTACACCATTACGAAATTCCATCCTCAATAAGACATTGGACACTTCCGTGTCTGTCATCACTCATCTTCAGAGCCAGCAGGCAAGAGTAATTGAAGTCTATGCTACAGATGGGGTCTTGGAGCTCCTTCTGGACAATGCCACTAGTAAGCGGATCTGGTTCCTCACCCGGGTGGTTCAAGTCGATCAGAAGCCGGTCGATTGCAGTAGACCTTTAGGAGACTACATGAAGAAGGGAGACATTGTGACCGTAGATGCTAAGTTGTGTGAAAATGCTGGCCATTCCAGGCATTGCAGCTGGGCTGCCACTGCTGTTTATAAGTATTCAAATTATAAGTCGGCTGTCCAGGCCAAGAAAACGACTTCTCAAGATCACGAGTCTACAATTGATAGTTTTAAGGATTTCGATGAAGGGATTCTGGGCGACTTAGAATTAGACGAAGACGAGATCCCAGACATTGGAGATTTAGAAATGGACGACCAAGAATTGGAAGTAAGGGGTGAACGTGTTAATGGGACTGGATCTGTGGCAGAACGGAGGGATAAGGACGTCGAAGAGCCGACAATTGCTAGAATTAGAAGCCCTGCCTTGAATGTCAGAGTTGAGATGCCCCTGCCAAAGCCAGTCACCCCTGCTCCATCTGAGAAAGCTGGGAATGCAGCCCAATTGGCAGAGCCTATTTTTGAGCAGTCCAACATTTTTTCTAGTTCAATGGCTGGGGCTGGGCTACAGTTACAAAACAGTAATTCCATGCTGGGACTCTTTGCACAGCAGCAGCAGAATTCATCTAGAATGGATGTGATTTCTTCATTTGCTGATACACAGCAACTTGAAAACCTCAAAAGGGTTGTACTCCCACTTCAAAATGCTCTCATCCTGCTTCTGCTGCAGCGAAACAGGCAAATTGAACTGGTTGCTGGTGATCGGCTCACTGAATTAATCAGGTTGTGGCTCATGTACAATCCAGATCTTTATCCCATGTACCAACAAGTAATGATGGATTCAAGTGGGAATTCTACTACTACTTCTGGCTTGACACCTGGGGCACGTCTGTCTACTTTTTCTACACCTTCGACCGTGAGTGACTTGTCAGGTGTTGCTTATCAAGTGAGAATCTGGTTTTTATCACCATATCGTATTGAATGTAAATCATAAATTGACATTCATATTCTTTTTGTCATGAGCAGTCATCCTTAAGTGGGGGTCTCAGTGGGCTGCTTGGGGCTTCTGGGTCTCTCCCAGACTCACTTCTTGCTAGTGCCCAGGTTGGGTCACATCCTGGTGAGATTTCTCAAAACTTTTCCCCATTCATTTCAGTCTACGTAAATGGTCAACTTGTGCAATATTTCTCCAGCAGTATCTGCTACCATTTTGGATATCCCACGTGAAACCCATGCTCTGGCTAAGATTGATTCTGGGCTCCAATCCGGCACTATTGTGTTAATACGCCGGGACATCTGCTACAAGGGCCAGGAATGCATTTCAGACCAGGATTTGCGCGAAGTTCTCTCTATCGGTGAGTTGTGCTCCTATGCTTGATACAGTGCTATTTCATTTTTTGGCAATCTTACCTTGCTAGTTGCTGTTTCATCTGCAGGTCAGAAGTTGAGTGTGAAATATGCTGCCACAAAACCAGGAAATCCATGGCAATGGGAAGCTACACATGCTACTTTGAATTGAATTATAAACCATTTCAGTTCATAAGTCATTTCTATTTTTTGTCAATTCCCCATTTAAGCTTTTATGTAATCACAATGTTAAGCATTCAGAATCCCCTTTAATTATTTTTCCCAATTACCTCTTGAATTAAACTTGAGGAAATTATCTCTTAATGAGATCCTAACCATTTAAAGTGATCTTACATGATGGGGAATTATATAAGGCTTAAGTACTGGTTTGGGCACCAGCGATATGAGTGCATAACTTGATCAGTGCCTTTTTTTCCATCTGTTCCTTCAAAATGGAAATACTGGAATGCTTTAGCTTTTTCCAGAAAGTTCCCCGCATTTATGACAATTGCATGATGTCTACATTTTGAGATTGTAAATATTAGAGCTTTTATAGGTTATGAGCTTGCATTTATTCTTCTAGGGGTGGAGTGTGTGTTTAGAGGGTGTCTTGTGAGTCCCTGAAGTTCTTGAAAGTTAGGGTTGAATATTGGATAAAAGATTATTCTTCTATCCAAAGGGTATGTGTGCTTGTGAAGTCCTTACTGGCATGAAAAGATAAATCTGCTTGAAAATTGCCAGTTTATGATCATTGTCAAAATATGAAATTTAGACATGAGAAAATACTGTAGCAGGACTGCTGACACTGATAAGAGCAAGTGTGTCCTTGGGTATTTTTCAGGTTGGAATATTTTTCCTATGCCATTCTTCTCTGGCATTGTCCATCCTTGGCCTTGCATTTGACTTCCTGTACAGAACTGATATGCTTATGGAACTTGTGTGACCAGCATAGAGACCTTTACTGCTGGGTCCACTGAACCACACATGGGACATCTGAATTTTTTTTATTTTATATATATGAGGATTGTGTCCTGTGACCTGTGCATTTGCTTTGAATGCCTGAGAAATAATAATTCAACTTTATTATTTTTGACATGCTTCTCTAGTGTGAATAAAGCTTCATCTCATGCAGAAATTTGTGCATTCACTGCTCCTTCACATGTGCAAGTTGCATTTTCTAAGTCATGAGTTGGTAGGGAATTAACTAACTGTCATTTTTCAGTCATATGGATATCCCTATCCTGTTACTCACATGAAAGGCAGTGAAGTTATTGACCATGTTAGGTGGTATTACCACCAGGATTTATTGTGAATGTGCATTTCTCCCTCTTAAAACAACTTAAGTTTTGGAATTGCAACATATCCATCCTTTTTCCAAAATTTCTGCTTCAACATAGAATGCACCTGCTTAATGCTGAAATTCCTCCACGTACCAAATGAGTGAAGTACTTAACTGAACACAGGGTTGGCTTTTCAAGCAGTACCAGTGACACTGTTGGTGGCTGTGGTTCCAATAGTGTTTGTAGAAATGCTCATAAATGCAACCACTTTCAATCAAGAAACCTTATATCATAAAAATTTCTTGAAAAATAGATTGTGATGAGAAACTTGGATGACTTTTGCCAGTTTTGAGTGAGCCATGCAGAGTAGATGGTTTTGTTTACTTCATCCCCAGAGCTCTGCCTACATCTCATAACCCAGTGGTTCTCAACCTGGGAAGTGTCACCCCCGAATGCATGAAGGTTCAATGGCAGTAAAAGGAAGGTTGAGAACCAGTCATAACTGCAAGAGATGGAGGGATGTTTAGTAAGCTTTGGGAAACTGAAGGTAGCTTTAACCTCTTCATGAAAGGTACATAACTTTTTTACAAGTGCATATTCACAGCAGTAATATTTTGGCCTTCCTGATTGCTGCAATAGACTCTTCACGACTTCAACTTGTGCATAATTTAGGAACATACTGATCACAGGATCAAGCTAACCATTCTCTCAAGTGCCAGTGCCTGATCCTATCATGGAAAATAAAGCCACTGAGTAAATAAGGAAAAAATATTTTTCTTTGGCCTGGGGATGCCAGCAATGGAATGCACTGGGTAATGCTCGTGCATTGCACTCAAAGCTCTTTCCCTACTCCTTTTTTTGGGATGGCCTTGGCTCTGGAACCATGCAACCAGCAGCAGCACCTATGATCCTGTATTGGTAACCAATCCTGATGCTTCCCTACATTCTGGCACATCAATACAAACCTGGTATAAATAATAGCAACTTGCATATGTGAATGAGCCATCCTTTCCATCACTCATTAATTTTTGAGCAAGTTTGGTGAAGTAGAAATCACTGAGGGAATCATTGGCAAAGCTGGACAACCCACAACTTGTTTTTCCCTATTACTTCAACTGGATTGGTGCAGACAGGTGAAGTATAATTACAAAAAACTTCAGAAGATAAACAAAGTCAGGATGCATATAAGAAATGTCAAATGACTGGTTCAAAATGTTCTACCACCACAAAAACCTTCAACCTGACCTTGAAATGAAGGAAATGTGGATTGCAGTACTTTGCTCCTGAAGCCCAATTTTGGGTGCTCTTTCTCAAGGGGGGGAATCATCATTTACTGTAAATGGAATGGAAACAAGAGTGGGCAAGTTTGTGAAAGACAAGAGAGAGATTCAAAAGTGGTTTGGAGTCTGCACCAGCTCAAGTGCTGCCTCGCCCCTCGTCCGGCCTACACAAAATCCAGGACATTCTGTAACTGATGAGCAAATTCTTCACAAAGGTAATCTGGTGAATCAAACTCACTTGTGTGGAGATTGATCCTTGTTGGCAGGATCTTGAGTGCAGACTTGGTCGATGTCATTGGACAGGGGCTCCTTTCCGATGCGCTTCAGCCAGGAAGGCCCATCTTGGGAAGAGGATGATGATGATCCCATGAAACTTGGCTCTCCATCCATCCCCCTGTCACAAGCAACAAGTAATGAGACACTGTATGGAATATTCAGAAGAATTTCAATAATCTAATCTTTAACTCAAATACCTGTGCCTCAGGCGGTATCTGAGCTTTCGCAGCTGGGGCGCCGGAGGGAGAGGAACGGAAGGCGCGGAAGGCATATCGACCGGAGGGTGCGAGGGAAGTTCGGCGTCGAGGGAATGCTCCCGCTCGCCCTCACTGCGGATCACGGGGAAGCTGCTGCATGGATCCTGATCCTCGATGAGCCGCTCAGAGGATCCCGTGTGGGAGGGGAAGAGATGCTCCAGGCTGAGGTCGACGTCTGGGTGACCCAGGACGCTGTCCAAGGCCAGGTCGCTCAATGCACTCAAGGACACTCCCTATTTTGTTCAATTCAACAACATTCTGTAAACCTCTATCACACTCAATACAAAGCAAAATGATAAAGGTGTTGGCAGCTCACCTTTGGCTCAGGAAGAAAGGAAGTAGACCCTGAAAAGAGAGAGGACATATATTTCACGTAGAACTTGCAGTCATTAACATTTAATTGAAAAATGGGATGCTGCCAATAAATACCAGAATCAGCTGAAGTGGGAACATCTACTCCTCCAGTGGTAGCACACCTCAGGCTGTCCAAATTCATGGCAACACCCAGAGTGTCGAACACACTCGAAGCTGCGAGAATGGGGCTGCAACTCAGTCTCAGGCTGCTTCCGATTCCTTCCTCCCCTGATTTCAGGTATAATAAATCTGTGTACTGGATGCACTGGTCTTATTGTAAAATCGGGGCTTTGGTGTTGGAGAAAATTCTCACCAGAACCACTTCTCCTCCAGCGGGAGCCTGGGTTACGCTTCAGTCGAGCCGATGGAGACAGAGACCCAGCCTGATCCAAGAATCTCATCAGCATGGTTTCGTGTAGATCTCCTCCAGTATCCATTGCAGCTCCAGCGCCGTTCAATCTCTCACAGTCCCGTTCTGTCGATTTCCTTTAAGATTTCCACTGAAAATCGTTAAAAAATGATGCACAGGCAAAATCATCAGTGCATGTTAGATAAACTCACCTTGGGTTGGTAGGAAGATCGATTTGATCTGGATCTGAAAACCCTAATGACTGTGTGACATCATTTTCACCAGACATGGTCTCCTCATCAACATCGTTCTCGTCAGTCTCTCTCATTCCGGCTCCCTCCGGCTTGGCTCTCTCGTCCACCTCGCCGTCGTCCTCTCCATCGGAGCCGTTCTCGGATTCGGAAGACGTGTTCTGCAACTCCGCCTCCATTTCGCCTCCGTGTGTGGATGCACTTTTTCCTCCCTTGCTTTCCTTGAATGATGGTGATGGGCGGGGTGGGTAAGGGGGAGCCTTCCTTGGCAACAGCCTCGAGGACACGTTGGCAGATGAAGAGCGAGTCAACTCCACTGCCAATCTCTATGGAGGAAGTAGTCATTGCTGTGAGTTTTGTTACCTTCAAGTAAGTTTCATTTCTGGTGCCTATCACACAGTTTCCATGACTCACCTCCTTCAGTTCCTTGATCTGGGTCAAGTACTGTGCTTGAACAGACTGAAGTTGGTTGATGTACCACTGTTGGTCCCGACACTTTTGGAAGAAGGTGGGTGGGCGCACTTGGAACCTGATGTATGCAACAAGTTCAATTCAGACTAAGTTTTGAGAAAATAAACACCAACAAAGCATGGAATTGACACTTGCCTCAGAACAAGGGTGTCAGTCTCAGTGTTCAAGTACCCTTCGGAGGCCAGAAGATCGAGGCGAAAGAAACGGTTATAGCCCCAGCACTCCCCGACCTCAAAATCGGATGCAAATTCCCTGACGATGTTCTTACTTGAATCATGACTACCCTGATATATCATCTCTACACGATATTCATATCTGAAAAGGCAAAAATTAACTCACAGATTTGCAACAGTTAATCACGAAATGAAAGAAAATTTCATGAGCCATTCCAACTTACTTGGAAGTTTCAGGAAGCCCAGCACTGAGTTCAAGGAAGACTGAGAGATAATTTCCACGAACAACTCCATTCCCATCGGGGTAGACTTTCAGTCGCCATGACAATCCATTGACCAGCAATGGGGGGGAGTAAACCGGATCTGCCTTGTGTTGCAGCTGGCTGAAGTGCCTCATCGTGAAAGTGCTACGATCGTATTGTGGCACGATCTCGCTGGAAGGAATAAGTGATCTGGCTGTGAAGGAGAAGTGCATCATCTCGGCCACGTACTACCGACTGGACGTCGTCTCACCTGTGGAAATCTGCCGGCACCGGAGCGGAAACGACAGGGCCGACTGGTCTTCTCAGGGTCTGCTTCAATCCTTGGAGGATCTCACCGGATCGGCTTATGAGTTGACTCTTGCTCAAGTTGCTCATGGCTCCCTCCACCTCCCCAAGCATGGATTCCAATTGTTCTCGTTCTTGCGTCAGTGTGTTTTTCTGTCCCATCAGGGTCAATAGTTTTGCTTTCAGCTGAGAATCCAACCTAGCTATCATGAGCTCCACGGCATTGCGGATCTCCCGAACCCGCTCGTCCTTGGCAGCTCGAACGCTCTCCACGTTCCTTTCCTGTATCGATGAGGAAATTCCATGGCTAAAAATTTGTGCATGGATTAGACAAAAACCATAAAACTGCAAATCGCAACCTTACCACTTCCTGGTCCAAAGAGATGAGTTCCATGAGCCTTCGTCTGAGCTGGGCGACCTGCTCCCGGATCTGAGACCGATGACTCTCGTAGATCTCCTCCAGCGGCTTGAACGTGTGGCCCGAATGGGTTCCTCCCCAGAGGGCACACTGATGACAGATGCTCCCGCTGCAGGTGCGGCAATAGACTGACAGCTTCTCCTGATGCGCTTCGCACCTGAAAGAACCCAACTTTGACGTCTCTGCATGCATGCTCTTGAGACCGTGATTGACCGTAGGTCTCACTTGTCTCTCTCGGCTGCATCGGTGATGGAGCCTCTCGTCATTCCGAGGGATCCCGGACTCCCTCCGCTGGCCTGGAGAGTGTCGAGCTGCTGCGTCACCTCCTCCACCCATCGACAGTTCACGAGCTCGTGCAGGCGTAAATGCGCCCGGCAGTGCGGGCACTGCTGGGGTCTCGTCTCCGTCAGCCAGCGTCGAATGCACTGCAGACAGCACAATTTGCTGCAATGTGGGCAGAGGTGAGCATCCCTCAGCTTCTCCATGCAGATGAAACATCGGAACACTTCAGCGAGGCTCTAAATCGGGAATAAAAATTATCGGCGGATTAATTCGTCTTTCTAACTTAAACATAACATAGGACTTTATGTAGGCCAATGCTCTGGTATATGGTCAGAGGCTTACCTCCACAGGAACCTGGGTGGTAGAAGGATTCCCACCCTTCTTCTTCCCTCCCTGGCCCTCCATGGTCGATCACTTGAGCTCAGCACACCTTCCCCTCGTCAAGAAAATATTTTAAAACGGCCCAATTCAACGCTCCGTCCGCGAATGCGATAAAAACCACATGATCAGGAGGAATTTGAGGTCACCAGGTCATTATCCTCCCCGACACGCGCTCCGCCATGATACGATGGCCGTGACGTCACGAGTGTTTTATGCTCGGGGCAGTGTCGTCTGCTGCTGCAGGGATCGTCCGAGACTTCCTTCCGAGTCGGAGGCATTCGAGAGGCAGCGGCGAGCGATGAGGGTCATCATTGTGCCATTTTCGTGTGTCTCCCGCCCCCGTTGTGTCCTCGTGGGGAAATATTTTTAAGAGTAGAAGATGAAAACTCAAAGACCGAGGGTCTTCGCAGGACGATCCTCAGGTGAGAAATGCATGTCTCATTTCGTTCCGAGGCGGTTCTCATCTCGAATTGGAGCTGTCACCCATCCAAAAGGAGGAATTCGTTTCGACTAAGTCCAGGACAAGTGCCGGTCGGGTCAAAAGCCTAAGAGGCTTCACTTACAAATGGCTGGAAAGTAACTTCCGGAACCCGGAAGTTACTTTCCTATACATGCTGTGATAAAAAAAAACTTCCCGAGCTGATTTGTTCGCAGAAATGTTTTTATGTGAAGCGTTCAACTTTCACTTTAAACTTTCAGAGAAGTTCAAGAAAAAACTGTCCTGCTCATCATTTCCCCAGTTTCCGGTTGAGAAGAATTGACTTTCTTCTTGGGAATCAAAACTCGGTTTCCTATCGCATCATGATGTTTTAAATGATCGGGAGTATTTGGCGGGGGGGGGGGGGGGGGGGGGGGGGGGGAATATTTCGGAGAAAGGGGGGGGGGGGGGGGGGGGGGGGGGGGGGGGGGGGGTGCGTAATATTTCGGAGAAAGGCGAAGAAATTCCGCGGACAGCATGAAGTGGGACTTCCGAGGAAATGCAGGAAATATTTTTAGACCATGAAGGGATTGCAGATTTGCATATTCTTCGTCGTAAATATGAGGAAATATTTACGTTGAAGAATCGGAAAATTTTGAAAAATAAATTATGCAGTGCAAAGTAACTTGGTGTCACAATGAAAAATGCCTCGAGTCCATGGAGTTTCTCCACTTCAGAACGTCGAAGGAAACGTTTCAAAGGACTTTATTTATTTATTAACATCGTATTGCGCTGAAGCCGCTCGCATTGCGAGTTTGTCGGACAAAACAAACTCGGTAGTACCTAATATTACTCGTTAAGTATGTTTAGATCAGCCGAGCCAAGCAGGATTTGCACAGCTTCGGAGCAGTTCCTTCCCCAACAAGGGGAAGTCATCATTTCATTTCCCCAACACCCAGCAGCAAAATGCAAGCGAAAAAGCGTTCACACCGAGAATCCAACGTCGCTTCAGGTCGTGTGAAGAGGCGATTGTGGGGGCTTTCTACGACTGGAGCGAGAAAATTATGAAAATTATGTTCGCTTCCCCGATCCAGAAGGTTCCGTATTATCATGAGGATATTTATGTTAGATCAACTTCTAAGAAATGCTATTTGCAGCTTATGCGCGAGAAACAGCCGTTCTCTTATTGAATGAACGAAATTATACTGAATATTTTGAGAACGTTCTATTCCGTCACGAACGAGGGAAAAGTAGCTCGATTGAATGGGTCTTGAATGTCGGACGCTAATATTCCAGGAGAAAGGCATATAAAAAAGGCATTGTTCAAAACCAATTACCAAGGAAAGGTATGCATTCCCCCCCCCCCCCCAGAATATTACGGATTATGCAAGAGATGTTGCTAGCCGAATATTTTTACGACATGGGATGGATAAATGTCAGATTTCTTTTGCAGTTAAGAAAAGGCAAAGGAATGCTGTCATTTCCAAAAGTTTTAATCGATCACGGTTTAGAAACATCCTTTGCGGAAAGATCCCACCAGCGGAAGGCCCATTTCTTCCGGAAATTCACGAATATATCCCATTAGCCACATTTGTGGATAAAGGCAAAAGGAGGCACCCGTGTAGTTACGGAGTGTGTACAATGTCCAAGGACTGGGACCCGTGATTATGACCGAGCCCACTGAGGACTGATTGAAATCATTCACGTCTGATGTGTAATAGTATTCTTGCTGCTGGTAAGCAGCGGCTTCGTACAGAGTGATGGCCTCTTCCGTCAGGTAGAACGAACCGCCGAAGCGCAGAGATGAAGCTTCGTCGCCCCACCCGATGTTGATGCATTTGTCAAAACCGAAGAATTCATACGGAACAAGGGGAACGTCGAACTGGGTAAAGCCGTAGATGATCCAAGCTCCGGTGACTCGTACACTGTTGGCCTCGTTGCTTTCAACGGCGACGTCTCCGCAAGCGTCGAGATCGTCGCATGCATCGAAAAAGGATTCCTGAGCACCGCTTTCGTCGCAGTCGTCCAGATCGTACAATGTGACCCGCTGACGAACGGCCATGCTTGAGCATCCTTTGCGGAACGATGCCACCTTTCGTAAAGATGTATCAATCTGTACATCTTGGATGAATCCCATTTGTCCCATTTCTGGAAATACACAGTGTGTGGTACCCGCATAGTAGGAAAAGTCGTATAATGACCAAGGACTGGGACCCGTGATTATGACTGACCCCACCGAGGACTGATTGAAATCATTCATGCCGGATAAGTAATGGTAATCTTGTTGCTCATAACCAGCGCCTTCGTATAATGTGATGGTCTCTTGCTCCATGTTGGGAGAACCAGCGAAGCGCAGAGATGATGCTTCGTTGGGGAACTCGATGTTGATGCATTTGTCAATACCGAAGAATTCATATGGAGAAAGGGAGTCTTCATAATTGGTGCTGTTGTATATAATCCACGCTCCGGTGACTCTTGCACTGTTGGCTTCGTTGCTCTCTACGGCAGTATTTCCACAAGCGTTGAGGTCCTCGCACGCATCGAAGAAGATTTCCTGAGCACCCCTCTCGTCGCAGTCGTCGCGATCGAACAAAGCGATCTTCTGATGAATCTCCCCCAAACAGGGACTACAAAGCACCAGGAGGATGAGCCCTCCAATTACCATCCACATGATTTCTCTCTTTTCCTTGATCTGGGTCAAGTACTGTGCTTGAACAGACTGAAGTTGGTTGATGTACCACTGTTGGTCCCGACACTTTTGGAAGAAGGTAGGTGGGCGCACTTGGAACCTGATGTATGCAACAAGTTCAATTCAGACTAGGTTTTGAGAAAATAAGCACCAACAAAGCATGGAATTGACACTTGCCTCAGAACAAGATTTCTCTCTTTTCAGCTACTGCGCCTATGCACCAACTATGGCTTCGCTGTGATTGGAAGAACTGATACAGTATGAAGGTTGAAAAGCGGCTGTTGCCTTTCCCGTGGAACTCATGATGGCTCCGTTCTTGTTCTATTATTATCTGCGGTTTCAAATAATCTACGAGGAAAACTGGAATACAGGAGACTCAAACTAACGCTTGCCGTGTTCCCATCGTTGAATTCGTTTGAAGAGCCGGACGCGTAAAGAAAGTTCTCATATTTCCAGATAACGAGTGCAGTAAGAGAAACCACATCGACACAAGATTTCCATTTCGGGAACCGTTCTACGTAAGGAGACATGAAATGGCTTCAACTGGAGCTCTTCCAATTCGCTTCATGAGTCAATGGAGTTGGAATGAGATTTGAGCATCATTGCTGAGATTGAAAATGTGAACATTTATGGATATTTCACCCCCCGCAATATTCCTATGTGTCGAGGGAAAAGACAAGCTTCTTGCATACAGTAAGTTGCACTCCTCTTTCAGCTATATCGACGAAGCACGTTACATGTTTGAATTTCGGTCCGCTACATCGGGAAAAATTTACCTGGACATCGGAAGTGTATCATCTTTTGTCATCTTTGCTCGAGTATTTTTCAATGTGGCGGAGCACTTACGGCGTCGTGGGTAGTATCAGTAGATAGGAGACTTTGTGCTCTTTCAAAGAATATATGATTTGTTGTGTCATGTAAAAAGTTTGTGAAAAATTCATTATTCCAAGAATTCACATTTTCTTGAAGTTTATGAATATAGTCTTGTGACATATCGCCAGAAAGATCTTCAATACCGTTACCTATAACAGTACTTATCAAGCCACTAGTCGCATCATAAGATGATGAGATTATTATTATCATAACCGAAAGGATAATCAAAAGAGAAGAACCATTTGAAAATTCAGTAATCTGCTGTTGACAATTCCGAATTTACCTCAGAAATTAAAATAGGATAGAGGAGCAAGTGCAGAGATTTGCATGCGACTCAGCAGAAAACCGAGTTAGAAACTATGATTCAGTCCAGCTAAAGATAAGTGATTCTGGAGACACAGCTTTTGGAACAAGGAGGTTTCTATATCTCTTTCTTAAATCTGGTCAGAAGAAAATAGGAACAAAACAGGAACATCAGCTCCGGGGAGATATTAGATTAATAGAGGGATATTTGTCAGAAGGAAATGGTCCTTTTAGCATAGTAGAGTTGGAAGCACAAAAAAAGAGTAGAGATTTACGAAATATGAGAATAAAAATACTGAGGGTTTGAAACTCAGGTACAAAGCTCAGTGATTGGCTTATGGAGGGAAAAACTCGAAATATTTCATGTAATTGGATGGAAGAAAATTATACAACTCAAAGGTATGAAGGCTAAAAGGGAAATCAGGTGAAATAATAGACGATCCCAAATGTTAGGAGGGCCTTCATGAATAAAACGATCTACACTTTACTCTCAAAAGTATTCGGACACCAGTAATATTGAAGAAAATGTATTTTTAATAAGGAAATTAATTACCTGTGGATCCACCTTTGGCCTGAAGATAACTTTATTTATAAAAATAACTTACCTTCAAACTGGCTGCTACTAATATCTATCGTCTTCCTTGCACTTTTTTAAATACCTGTTCCTTCTTTGCATCCGTCCGACTCGCATCGTTCACTATTTTCTCTTACGGGTGTCCGAATTCCTTTGAGAGTTTAGTGTGTATTCCGCTAGAGAAATAAATGGGGATGTGCCTCAAGAGTTCATTCCCAGTGCGGAGATTAAGCAACCAACCAATGGAGAAGCCATGAGCTACGGAAGATGAACTGTGGAATGCTCTTAAGGAAACTAAAAATGAGGAGTCTCCTGGTTTAGACGGTTTTTCACTCGAAT